GGGGAGGTGAGGCCTGCAGGGACCTGTCAGTTTCAAGCTCCGAGGCCCACCCACGGCCCTGCGGTTACACAAGTCCCCGCAGTTTACCAACTTCTCACAGCCCTGCACTGCAGAGACCGCCCCTGAGCGGAAGGGCTCGGGAGGCATTTTCTTTCTTCTCTCTACCCTCACCCGAGGACATTTTCCATTTTTTGTTCAGACAGAGTGGGAGGGAGAGAGAGGAAGAGAGAGAGAGAGAGAGAAACATCGACGTGAAAGGGACACATCGAGTGGCTGCCACCCGCACGACCCAACCGGGGTCGGGGACAAACTGCAACCGAGGTACGTGCCCTTAGCGGGAACCGAACCCGGGTCTCTCTGGACCGCAGGCCGACGCTCTAACCGCTGAGCAAAACTGGCCAGGGTGGGAGACATTTTTGTAATGGATTTATTCCCCATGCAAGGCCCTGGAACTCCCGGACTCCAGTGCTCAGCACGGTCCAGGTGTGTCCCTAAGGGTGGGCGGGATTCACTGACACCAGGTGCAGCGTGCCTGGGCTCACTCGTCCTCGCTCCCTGCAGCAGGGGTGAGGAGCAGGGGTCCCCTGGAGCCATGAGGGCTGGGGCAAGTCCCCGCCTCTCAAACTGGAGTCACAGCCACAGCCGGCCACCTTGCAGGGCTGGGAGGGGGCAGGAGGCCCCACCTCGGGCGGGTCCAGGCTCACACTGTGGCCACTGAGGTGGTTTCTGACTTGACAGTCCCCTTGCTTGTTCTTTGCTGCCACAGTGGTGATTCTCTCTGGGGCCACACGGACCCGATGCCACTTCTGTGCTGGAGGGAGCGCTTACCACTGTGGCCGAGTCTGGGTTTGGGACTTTGAGGACTTCTGATGTAGAGAGTTTCAAAGTCAGAGGAAATATCTAAAATGCGAAATGAAAACTCAAGGTGTTCCCTTTGCACCATCGAGGAACCAGAGGAGGTGGGAAGTACAGCCACGGTTAGGAAGGGACTATTCCTCAGTGACCACGTTCAGGGTGATTTTAAATCTCATGGCCAACGTCAGGTTTGTGTGCCTTACAAACCGAAGACAGACCAGTAGAGGCTCAGAGAGACCTGGGGCCTGGGGCCAGGAGGCAGGTGGGGGACTCTGCCCTGGGGCGGGAGGGACTTGGGAAGCGGGGCTGCTGGACCTCAGAGCTGGGAGGACCACAGTGGGCCCTCCCGCCCCCTCCCGCCCCTCAGGATGCTTGCCTCTCACAGAGCCCACGGGCTTCGTGAAGACCCGAACTTTCTCCGAGTGACACAGAGGGTGAAAGATGCGAATGGGGCCCGGGCCTTGCGGGGCCCTGTCACCTGCGCAGCCCTAACTGGCGATCACAAGGCTTCAGGGACACGGACCTTCTGGCTCTGGCCTCTCCGTCCCAGGCAGGGGTGTTCAGTGTAAGGCCCTGGGCAGGAGCCTTCCCCCTCGTGTCGGGGTGTTGCTGTTGGCCGTGTGATCGCGGGGACAGTGGCTAGCTGGGGGAAGCTCCGTGGTCTGGACGGGGACGCCACCAGTTCGGGCCTCTCCAAAGCCTGAACTTTGGACACGGGTCTAGGGCACCTCTATCAGTCACTGATGCCAGTGAGACCGAGGCTGGAGTGGAAGGTCCGGAAAGACGACGAGGCTTGTGAAGAGTCTCCTCCAGCTGTTGTCAGGACACTGCCCCGAGCCGAGTGCAAGGAGAAACCGCTGGCGTGGCAGAGGCAGAAAGGTCCCTCAGTGGTGACCATGGAACAGGACTCTCCCCGGGCAGGGGCAGCATCTGAACACACCTGGAAAGACTGTGACCCCCCCCTCCCAAGTGCACTGAGGGTGGAAGGTCTGTCCTTTTCATTGTAGTAAGGACCCTTACCATGAGGATTCTTCGTGCTGAAACTACCCTCCGAGCAACACCTCCAACGGCCCCTCCCCCAGCCCCTGGCAGCCACATGCCACCCTCACCTTCCATGAGTTTGACTTGTCTCGATTCTGCAGAAAGTGGGATCTGCAGCGCTGGGCCTCCTGTGACAGGCTCACCGCCCTCGCGCAGTACCTCCTGGGTTCCCCCATGTGGCCGCATAGCCAGGGTTTCCTTCTTTTTCTATTTTTTTTTTTTTTTTAATCCTCATCCGAGGACATTTTTTCATTTTTTGTACAGACAGAGTGGGAGGGAGAGAGAGGAAGAGAGAGAGAGGGAAACATCGATGTGAAAGGGACACATCGAGTGGCTGCCACCCGCACGACCAACCAGGGCCGGGGACAAACTGCAACCGAGGTACGTGCCCTTAGCGGGAACCGAACCCGGGCCTCTCCGGACCGCAGGCGGATGCTCTAACCGCTGAGCCAAACCGGCCAGGGCGGTTTCCTTCTTTTTAAAACTAGGTAACATTCGTGTGTGTGTGTGCACGTGCGTACCACATTTTCCTCATTCATGTACCAGTCGATGGACATTTAGAGTGTCTGTACCCTGGCTGTGGTGAATAGTGCTGCAGGGACACGGAAGTATGCATTATCGACTGAAGATCCCGACTTCAATTCCTCTGGCTGTTTGCCAGAATGAAATGACTGGGTCATAAGGTCGTTCTATGTTTAAGTTTTTGAGGAACCTCCACGCCCCCTTCCACGGGGGCTGCGCGATTCGGCATCCTACCAACGGTGCGCAAGGGTTCTGACTTAGCCACGACCTTTCTAGTGCTTGTGTCTTTAGCTTTCTTGGAAATAGCCTTCCTGGCGGGGATGAGATGGAAACTCACTGTGGTTTTGATCCGCATTTTCCTGATGACGAGTGGTGTTGGGCCATCTTTTCATGGACCTGTTGAAGGCATCACACTTCCTGATCTCAAAATACATGACAAAGCGACAGTCATCAGAAAAGTATGTACTGGGATAAAGACAGACATACAGGCTGACGGAACACAACAGAGAGTCCCAAAATAAATCTGCGCACACAGGGTCAAGGGATCTTCGACAGGGTTGCCAAGAATACACAACGGGAAATGGTGGTCTCCTCAGCAGGCGGTGCTGGGAAATCAGATGCACGTGCTAAAGAATGACATCAGACCCTTAACTTACACCAGACACGGAGTCATCCCGAGGTGGATTAGGAGCTGAAACATAAGACCTGAAACCGTTAAACCCCTAGACGAAAATGTAGGGGAAAAACTTCACAACACTGGTCTTGGCAGTGATGTGACAAGGAGATGACGCCAAAACACCAGCAACAAAAGCAAACAGACAAGTGGAACTACATGGCCCTGCGATCCTTCTGCACAGCAAAGCAAACCACCGCCGGAGCGCACGGCCGCCCCGGGAACGGATGGGGGAACACCTCTGCGAGCCACGTGAGGGATAAGAGGTTAACATCCAGATTACATAAAGAACGTGTAGAAATCAATAGCGAAAAACCCAATTAACTCGTTTAAAACATGGGCTAAGGACTTGACACTTCTTTAAAGAAGACAGACAAATGGCCATAGGACATTCTTGACGATCAACAGCTCTTCGGGACTGGAAAAGGCATCGATGACCCTGAGATTAAATCTCCTCTGTTAATTAAAACTAATTATTAAGAGGCTTGTCAAGAATGTCTGGGAAAAACCGAGGAGCTCGAGACCGTCATGGAGCTGGCTTTCCTGACACGTGAGTGGCCTCATCGGAGCGGAACCACAAAGATCCCTTGGCGTGGCACACACTTGCGGCGGGTGGCTGCATCTCTTCTTGTCATTTCATTCTTCTCGACAGACGTCGTAACTAAATGTGATTTCAGTTTGTGTCATTATGTTCACGTAAATTAGATGTCAGAGAAGAAATCTTGTCTGTCCTGGATTTGGGCTGAGTCACTGTTGAGCGGACCTGAGCGGGCCACTCGGAGCCGGGGCTCCAGTCCCAGAGGGGTGGCTGCTCCCCAGGCCTCCGGGGCTCCCAAATCCTCCTCCTTGCGGTGAGGTAAGACGCGGCGTGCCATCACGAGCGGGCAGGGGGAGCCCCGGGAGAACCACGCACAGGCTCAAAGGCAGCAGTTACCTTACGTGGGAACACGGGGCTTGTCACCGAAGGTGGCTAATAATCGTTGCAATGACTCTTCAAGGAGATGTTAGCTCCAACGGTCTGACAGAAACCCCAGCCGAGTCTGGGACGGCTGGGAGACAAAAACCCACGCTCTGCATTCTGTCCCCATCAGTCACTGTGGGACCCAGTTACTGTCACCAGCTTGTAGGATGTGGGCAGCCTCTTTGTAACCAACTAGCCTGCGTTCCAGCCGCTTGGAGCCGGCACAGCAGACGGGACCAAGCTGCCATCCTGGAGCCACAGCAAGCTGCTTGGCCAGGGCACCGGAGGCCAAGGAAGCTGATTCTGTGACTGACGCTGACCAGCCCCCTTCCCGGGGGTCACCTGGAGGCCATCACGCTGAGTTCCCGAGACAGGCCGTCACTTACCTTAGATAGAAGCGGCGTGGGCCAGGTGACTGAGCAAGACCGAGCAGAAATGTCCCGTAGCTCAGAGCTTCCACACAGCAGACTGCTTTCCTTTTCTCTTTCTGTCCTTGATCGGCTTTGTCCTCCCGGAACCGAGGCCGACAACATCCGTGCAGGCTGCTCCTGCCTGTGACCCTCCCCTGCCACAGGAGTTAGCCGTCCTCACCCGTGTCGCTGTCCAGGGCCTCGCCCTCCCTCCAGCCAGAAGGAATGGAGCCCATCCAAACGGCTGTCAGGGCTGTGACCCCAGACGTGGGGACCAAAGGGTCAGCCCCAGATGTCCATGACCATGTGCCCATGGAGCCCAGGGTAAGAGGCAGGGTGCTGAGCCCCCAGTTATCCCGGGGTTTCCAGGGGCCGGAGGAAGAGGTAGAGAAGAGTGATTAGAATTCGGACTGTCCAGTCGGTGACTTATGGGACGTGAGAAGAAACGCCGACCTTTTTCACAGAGAGGGAAGGACTGGGTCTTGATTTGATTTTTTTATTGTGGTAAAATACACACTATAACATTTACCATTTTAACCATTTTTAAGCGTACATTTCAGTGGCATTGAGCATGTTCACAGGGTTATGCGACCATCACCACCCTCTGTCTCCAGAACTTTCCATCCTCCCCAAGTGAAATCCTGTCCCCACCACTCCCCAGAGGCCATCTGAGCCGTATCCTAACCAGGCTGCAGAGATGAGAATGAGCGTGTGATCCTCCCAAATACGTGCACGTGTGTAAGTGACTGACGGGCCAGGAATTTCTGAAGGTGCTTCAGCATACACAGAAAAACCAAGAACACTGGTCACGAGCTGAGGGCCGGGGCCACGGGGATGACGTGGAATGGTGCTCCCGCAGCCTGCGGTGGCAGGGGCGGGGCTTCCCGGCAGCGGCAGGACCAGACGGCTTTGGTTCTGGAAGGGCTGTGCAGGGAGGCTGCGCAGACCGAGTGGCCACCAGGGCCCCTCTGTGCATGAGTCCTGCAGGTCACCATCCCCATTTCGCGGATGAGAATAAGGCACAAAGACACTCATGGTGCTCAGGGTCACATGGCTGGACGTCGGTGGAGGGGGAGAGGAGGCTCTAAAGCCGGCGTCTCCACTGGGCAGGGGGCTGCACGGGCACGTCCCCTACACGAGCTGAGTCACGTGCAGAGCCGGGTGACGGGTGCCTGCCGCCTCGATTCCCAGCACGGCGGCTGTGAGTCCGCGTGCATCTCCTCTCCCCGAGGACTGGGGGAGAGACGTGATCACACACACACAAAAATGTCGTGAATCTAAGACTTAATTTTTCTTGTAAAAAATTAAGATGTGTATCTCATTTTGAAAAGAGAGGAGACAAAAAAAAAAAGCTCTTTTAGAATATATAGTTTAAGGCCACAAATCTCAACACTTTCTCTCTCTCAGCCTTGGTCAATTGGCGAGGATGGGTGTTCCCGCGTCTGTCACCGTGGGGACCTTATTCAGGTTAAATGTCCAGCCCCCTCCTGAGATGCTGGTGGTGGGATTGTCAGCTTTCTTTCCTGTGGTTCTAGAGTCCACATCACAGACGCATTTACTAGTGTTCTCCAGCTCCTTGTCTTCTGTCCATCTTTCCGACAAGAAATTCCCTCCAAGGCTACACGCAGCGACTGTTTATGGCTCGGGCTCGTCAGAGCGCCAAGGCTGCGGTGGGTGGCCAGCAGAGAAGGGGCCCAGGTGGGTGACAGCGAAATCGCCAGAGCACAGGGGCTTCGTCCCGCCCCAGTCTGGGGAGGGAAAGAACCTGAGAGCAATCCTAGAACCCACTGCATTTGCTAGGACCTTGTCCTAGACGACCAGGACATCTTGGGAAGCCTTCAGACTCGGAGAAGGACACCAGACTGCACAGTCCGACAATACGCTGAAAACCCAAGAGAAAATGAGAAATTGCCATTTAATATGAAAGGGGTCCTGTGCCCCGTAAACGTAAGTTGTAGGATTACACAGAACAGTTTGGATACTAGCATTTGGTAAAATTCAGTTTAAGAGTACAGAGCATTTAGGTATAAAAATAAGTCTTTCCATGAAAAAGAATGCCTAAGGATGCACTCACAAAACCAGTGAAAAGTATAAAAGCGAGGCTGTAGCTGGATATGGCTTCATAAGCCACGGGGTTCTCAAATCTCACAGGAAATTTGATACTGAATTTTCCAAGACTTTTAAATGACACAACTGATCTTCTTCTTAACCAAGATACATGGGAAGAAGGCTTAGTAGGTACGAGCGATTTGCAGGCTCTTTGGAGGCGACAGGATCCCCCTGGCTCGATCGCGGAGGCCGGTGGGAGCCCCACATCCGTCCGTACGAGGTTTACATCTGCCATCACATGGAGGTTCAAAACCCAAACTGGAACGTTCCTCTTCCAACTCGCATCTTCTAATGATTCTCGGTATGGTTAAGATGTCCCTAAAATGATAAAACAGCGCATGTGGGAATTCACTTTCACTGACACTGCATCTGCCGTGGCTGCACCCCGACACGCAGCACAGCACTCAAAGCGACGGGGCGACCCCGAGTGACATCGCACTTCTCAGGCAGTACGTTCACAGTGCACGGGAGACCTGGAGACACTGCGGCCCCGTCCAGACCGCCGCAATAAGGTGAGTATCCCACCAGAACCGATCACTCAGATTTACTGGTTTCCCGGCGCGCCTGGGAGTTCGCAGAGGACTGCGGTCTAGGACGTGTGCCGCAATGTGTGTGAACATGCATGTATCTTAATTAAAAAATACTTTCTTGATAAAAATGCTATCCATCATCAGCGAGTCATAATCTTTTTGCTGGTGGAGGGTCTGGCCTTCAATCTGTAAAGAACTCAGCATCTGCAAAGCGCCATAAAGCTAAGCGCAATAAAACGGGATATGCCTGTAAATATAAAAATATCATCGTTAAGACCGTTAAAGCACTTCCTACGGTGCCTGTGCACACGATGTTCTCGATAAATGTCATTTCTCCTCTTGCCTGTGAGGAAAAGAGAATGAAAACATCTATACTCATAAAATAGAAGTTTTTAAAATGATGATGTCCAAATACTGAAGCGGGATCCCACACTACAGCGGCTCCTCTCTGGGGACCGGGGCGTCGCCATCCCCGCCAGGGTCGTCTGTCTCCTGCAGCAGGCCTCGCGTGTCCTCACCTCAGCCACAGGAAGAACTGGGGAGCCAGAGGGCTGGTGGAAGACAGGTGGCCGGACACTGAGCCTCTGTGAAATGAGAGGTCTCGTCCAGCACTTAGAAGCCTGTCACACCCGGCCACTATACCGGCAAAACGCGTGGCTCCATGGCCCTCCGGCAGGGACGGCCCTGCTCCCCAAGACCACAGCGTGATGGCAGTGAGCTCCCTGGGCCAACAGATGCGAGGAGGGTGGGCGGGCCCAGTGGTGGACAACAGCAGTCAGGCCCACGATGGCACCCAAAGCCCTGGGGACCCAACAGGAGAGAATCAGGCCCTACTGACAGCAGCCGTTTCACAGGACGGCTCATTTGGGTGATTGGAATGAAGCGATGGTGCACTCATTCTACCTGACGAGGGTCAGGGAAGGCTTCACACAAAACCAGGTGTCCCAAGTGGACCACAAGGGTGGGACAGTCTTAGAAGGTGGGAGAGGACATCCCAGGCAGTGAGGACTGCATGAGGTCAGAACGTTCCAGAACTGGAGAAGCTGTCTGTGATGACGGTGCACACAGTCAGTGACGGGAGACCTGTCCACAGGGTCAGGCTGTGCCCTGGCTGGTTTGGCTCAGCAGCTAGAGCGTCGGCCAGCAGACAGAAGAGTCGTGGGTTTGATTCTGGTCAAGGGCACGTACCTTAGTTGCGTTTAGATCTCAGCCCTGGAGGCAACTAGTCGATGTGTCTTCCTCACATGGATGTTTCTCTCTCTCTCCCTCCCCTCCTACTCTCTCTGGAAAAAATCAATGGAAAATATCCTCAGGTGAGGATTAAAAAAAAAAAAGAAGAAAAGAAAAGAAAGTCAGGCTGTGCCCAGACTGTGAAAGGCCCTGCACACCAGGGTGAACGCAGGTGCTGAATGTATCCACTGGGCCTGTGTTTTCGAAAGTACATGTGTGACAAGCACCTCTAGAAAAGTACACTAAAGAAAATGAAACAGGTTCTTGACTGTGACGTTCGGGGTCTAATGAACATTAAATCTACAAAAAGTGGGGAAAAGGATGCAGCACTTCTCAAACTTCTTTGACCAGGAAACTTGTCGTGAGACCCCCAGCGGCAGGACCCCAGGGGTGAGGTCACACAGACGTCTGGGAGGCTTACTCTCAGCTACTGTGTCCAAAGAACTAAAGGAAATGATGATTAAGAACTAATGGAAAGTATTTCCACCAAATAGAGACTATCATTGAAGAGATAAGAATTATTTAAAAACCATACAGATATTCTAAAGTTGAGAAGAATAATAACAAATAAAAATTTACTGGAAGGGTTCAACAGCAGATTTAAACAGATGAAACAAACTGACGTCAATTGAGATTACTCAGTTTTTGGGGCAGAAAACAAAATGAAGAAAAATGAACAGAGAGCCTCAGAGGCCTGCAGAACAGCATTAAATGTACCAACATATACACAGCTGGGGTTTCGGAAGGAGAGGGGAAAGACAATAGTTGAAGAAACAATGGCCAAAAACGTCTTGAATTTGATGAAAACACAAATCTATGCATCCAAGAAGCCCAATGAACTACAACTAAGACAAAACCAAGGAGATCCATACAGACATATCATAAAATGTCCAAAAAACAAAGAACCTCGAAAGCAGAGATAAGAGACATATCTCACACAAGGGCGCCTCAACAACACGACCAGGTGACGTTCTCATCAGAAATATGAAAGTTAGAAGACAGTGAGATGACATTCAAAGTGCTGACAAAAAGACAAGAATTCCTACCCAACAAAACCATCCTTCAAAAGTGTGGGAGAGATGAAGACATCCCCAGATAAAAAGAAAATCTGTCACTGATAGACCTAGAGAATAACTCAAATCCACATGAAGACATAATGTGAACAGGATTTTGTCTAATTCATTATTAATGAATAAGACTCTGCTTTTGTATGTTCATTTTATATTTAACAATCTGGATGAGTATTAATTCTAGTAATTATCTGTACATTTCTTGGACTTTCTAGGTTAATTACATCATCTGGAAATAGCAACTTAATTTTTTTCTTTCCAATTCTACACCTATTGTTTCTTTTTTATTTGTCTTATTGTGTTAGCCAGGAATCCCAGTACACTAAGCAAATGTGGTGATCTCAGACTTGTCCTTTTTTCTCCATCAACAAAAATGCTTCCACTGCCCTGGCCGGTTTGGCTCAGCGGTTAGAGCATCGGCCTGCGGTCCGGAGAGACCCGGGTTCGGTTCCCGCTAAGGGCATGTACTTCGGTTGCAGTTTGTCCCCGGCCCTGGTTGGTTGTGCGGGTGGCAGCCACTCGATATGTCCCTTTCATGTCGATGTTTCTCTCTCTCTCTCTTCTCTCTCCCTCCCACTCTATCTGTACAAAAAATGGAAAAATGTCCTCAGGTGAGGAAAAAAAAAATGCTTCCACTAAGTATGATGGATACTTATAGGGTAAACCCTTGGATTTCTGGTTTGCTAAGTTTTTATTGTGAATGGGATCTGCAGGTAAGTGAATAATGTTTTTACATGTATTAAGATAATACTTTTTTGATCAGACAATGTAATTTTTCTAATGTTAAGTCACCCATGTATCCCTTCACGTAGGATTTATTTTTAACCTGTAAAAACACCTGGGATGGTCCAGTGTACATCTTCTACAGCCAGCCCACATGCTTACAACAGGCACAGTCCCCTTATTATTTCAAAGATCTTATTCCAAGATCTTCTAGTGTCTATTGTTACTAATGAGAGGTCTGCTGTCAGTCAAATTATTGTTCCATCATGGTAGTCATCTCTCTAGCAGCTTTACCAATTTTTCTCTTTGTCTTTAATGTTTTTCAGTTTCACTATGGTGGATGTGTGGATACATCATGCCCAAGACTCACCATGATTCTTCAGGCATACAAAAGAGTATAGATAACAACATGACCTACACTCATGAACCATCACATAGCTTAACAGATAAAACATTACAGATATCACTGACACAGCCTTTGAGTCCTGAGAGCTCACTCCCTCAGGAGACACAAACTTCATCCTCCTGAACTTGATGTTTATCATTGTCAGGCAGGTTTTTATTCTTTTATTTAATGTTTAAAGGTCTTACATATTTAAAATTACATCTAAATGTTATCATCAGTCATTTTTATTTTTGCTCATTTGATGTTTTAATTTGCATGTCCTTAATTACTAGTGAGGTTAAACATACACTTACATTTATTGACTAATTGGGTTTCCTCTTCTCTTGCCAATTCATGTACTCTGCCCATTTACCTGCTACTTTCTATTTTGTGTGTTGCAAATGTTTTCCCTGCTTTATGGCATATTAAATAATGATGAAATAATTTTGACATGTAACATGTCTTAATGCAGATAGTTGAATATATTAAGATAAACCCTGTCAAGCCCAGCAGGTGTGGCTCAGTGGTTGAGCATCGACACATGCACCAAGAGGTCACTGGTTCGATTCCCAGTCTGGACACATGCCTGGGTTGTGGGCCCGATCCCCAGTGGGGGGCATGCAGGAGGCAGCCAATTGATGTTCTCTCTCATTGATGTTTCTATCTCTCTCTCCCTCTCCCTTGCTCTCTCTCTAAAATCAATAAAGAAAAAAAATTATAAAATAAACCCTGTGGGTTTATTACAACTTATAAATCTACCTGACTTCATAAATATATTCTCCTGTATTTTCTACTACAATTATTGAAGTATTTTGATTTTTGTATTGTTTGTGTTTTTCTTAGGTTCTTTAACCTTCCCCAATCTCCCAGAATTCTGTGTAAGCAGAGGTCTGATTTCATTTTCCCTCACATATGGATAGGCAATTGTCCTAGTACAACTCATAGAATACCTTGTCATTTCCAGCTGATTTGAAATTATCTTCTCTATAACAAATCAAGTGGCCATATATGCATGTTTAAAACCTTGATTTTATTCATTGGTCCATGTGTCTATTCCTGGGCCAAAAACACATTATCTTAATCATCACAGCTTTGTCGTAAATCTTGGTATCTGATAGGAATACCCCCACCTTGTTCTTCTGCTTCAAAACTGGTTTTCTTCAAGTCTAGGAAATGCTCAGCCATTATCTTTATTCTTTTCAAATCTGTCCTTTTCATTAGCTCCTCTTCTCCCATTTTAAACTCTTTCATTCTGGATTTCCTAATAGACCCTCTCATTCTTTCTTCTATAATTCCTAATCACACTTGCATACTTTCCCATCTGTTTATTTCCCTTGATGTATTTGGAAAAATTTCCCCAGATCTATCTTCTAATTCACA